GTATATTACTATATTCAACTCTTTGTTTTGATGTAGTTCTGGAAAAATCATTATTCTTTGCCTAAACAGGTCTTCTAAAAGAACCAGAAAAGTCTAACCAGAAAACAGGATTTGTTTCTCTCACACACACACACACACAGAGAAAACAGAACTGAACTGGAAAGTCTAGATAAACTGAAGCAAAATCTTTCTGATTGAGTCAATTATTGTCCAGATAAATTTTTAAGCTCAATGTCAAAGGCATCCTCTAGGATAAAGATTCTCTTTAAGAGGAATATTTGGCAAAATTATAGTTGAATATGTTATAGCTGTTAGGACCGAAAAAAGTCAGGTGTCATGCGGAAGATAGCAAGCAAACCTTGAGCGACGATAAATCAGACAACAAAAGAGAAATCTACCAAAAGAAGTACGTAGGAAACGCTTAAACGGCGTACGGTACAACGGGGTATAACGGTACGCCAGGCGAGATGAGCAATCCACATAATAAAAGAGAGTACAAAATATCGAGAGAACAACCTCACGAAGAGGCAAACACAAGTAGACACACTAACACTTGTCCCGTAATGTTCTCCCCCTAAACACGACTCTCAAACCCCATACGGCTACATTGTGGATGCTACTGAATGAGAAGGAAGGATTCTCAATTTATAGAAGTCCAAACATTTTCCTACAAGAAAAAGGACTAGCCAAATATTGGAGATTTATAATTTCCTTTTACAATAAGGAAAACCCGATTAAGGTAATTATATTGCCTTTTTCCTTCAAGAGATAGGAAAACCAAATATGGTAAGAAAATTATGGCAAATACCTAACAATAGCATCATTGGCTTGCAAAGCTTTATGATCTTCCTTTTTTCACTTTTGTGGACTCATCTACTTTAATATTCGTTAGTGCCATTGTTTATTTCTCCATTTTCTTGTCCGAGCTTGCTTAGTACATTGATATGATACTAGAACTATAGGACTGAAATGTACGTGAATAACTTTCAGCTCTAAATGAAACTTTGAGGGAAGAAGTGCAGCGGCTTAAGATTGAAGCAGGCCAAATTCCAGCTGCGAATGGAAATAGAGGAACGCGTTTTCATTTACCTCCCCAACCACAGTCCTTTGTTCAATGTGGTAACCACCATCCACAACACCAGCAGCAGCACATTCCGCGTTCGACTGCAAGTAACCAAACTGTCCCTGGGCAGTCTCAATCTAGCTTCTTCAACTTCAACAACAGGGCTTGAAAGTCTCAAAGGTGAACTGGTCTGGTTAGTAATTTATCAAAGTAGATGACCTTGTAAATATTGATATGTAGAATGTGTGTAGATTGTCAAAAGGTTATTGATCGAGTGTTGTTCAGCTCAATAGCTTGTAACTTACCAAGTTTTTAACAATATGATTACAGATTCTTTGATGTGGGATGCCTGATCTCGAGTTTATTTTTATTAAATTATAGAATATGAAACATTTCATCGATGATTTTATGTGGATTATAATATGTTCGAAAGGTTCATTTTTAGGACAAATAAAGTTTAGTTCGACACATATATCACTGTTTCTTCATAAAATACCTTCAAAAGAATCTGACGAGCAAGAAAAGTAATTAAAAAAAATGCTAAAGGTAAAGTAATTGTATTTTTCACTTTTTATGTTCATCGCTATTTTAATTATTGTTTGTCTCAACATATGGATGTAAGTAATTTAAGATAATGCACAGTGGAGGTAACTTCGTGCCCCGCAGGATTGTGAGCAAAAGCAGTTGAACTTTTACCGTTTATAGTGTTTGAAAATGTTTAGGAGACAGTGCGAGACGTGCTTATCCATTTCTGATTTCTGATATTAATATTAAGGCTTTTGATCCTTGGAGATAAAGTAAGGGTATAATTGGAATATTGTGTGGTAAAAACTGGAACCGCCCCGCGGTAATTATCTGATAGTACATAGGTAACCGCCCTCCTTTTCTCTCACAAACTGTCTACATAAGGAAAACTAGCCATTTTCTTCGAACTTTTTTGGTCAATCTTCTTCTTCCTAGGAACAAATAGAGATATGGAACACCATGCTAGCACTAGTTCCAATTCCTATCAATCTCTTGCTTTTTCAAGTAACTTTCTTCTTGATCATCGTCAACCTCAAATAGAAGACGAAAACCCATCAACATTACCCATGTTTGACTCTACTACAAATGTCCCTTCAGACCATAATTTGCACACAAGTGTAAGTTACCAACCCCACAATAATCCCAAAAGGAAAAGAAGTAGATTCCTCAGGATTGGTAATTCATTCCCAATTACAAAGTCATCTTCTTCTTCTGGAGTTATTAAGCCTAAATGTACCAAAAAACCTCCAGACCCAAGTGCACCAAAAATTACTCGGCCTTGTACTGAGTGTGGCAAGAAATTTTTGTCATTGAAAGCCCTTTTTGGTCACATGCGTTGTCATCCTGAACGCCAATGGCGCGGCATTAACCCTCCTCCTAATTTCAGGCGACACAACGATGACTCTTCTACTTCTGCTCCAGAATTTAGCCCTAGACAAAATAAAGTTTCTTCACAAACCCCCAAATCACTTTCCCATATGATTATGACAGACAAGGACCACGACATCGCTTCGTGCTTGTTACTATTAGCCAATGGTGGATCAAAACCTGATGATAACGACGAACCTGAGAATGTTGTGAGGGACAGGATTATAGTGGATGCATCAGCAGAGCCTTCAGCTTCGTCTTCAGGAGTAGGTGAAGCCAAGTGTTGTCGATTCGAGTGTTCAAGTTGTAAGAAGGTGTTTGGATCACACCAGGCTTTAGGTGGACACAGGGCTAGTCACAAAAATGTTAAAGGTTGTTTTGCATCAACTTCAGGTTCAGGACTAACACAAGCTCCTCTTATTCTAAACCCTAATGCACATGATCATATTACTACTAATTTGGATCTTAACTTCCCTCCTCCTGTCACATTAATCTCAGGTGAAGATCAATATGATTCTTCGTCTTCCTATTCTTCTACTTATTCAGGCTCCGCATTGGACTTAAGGTTGAGGCTATAAGGGCTTCAACTTTATTACATAAGTAGTCCTATATAGTAACTGACATATTACTATAATAGAAGCTTTTAATGGTAGTCCTACTCTAGTTTGAAGATTGACAAATTCATGGCTCCAAATTTGGAGACAAATGAATTTACAGTTGTGATGTACACTAATGTTCAATGCACATTTGTGGTTACCAATGCAATGATATAATAATACTAGTAACTTCTTATGTGTACAGTAGTAAGTTCAATTCTATTTCCTGGTGTTGTTCAGCTGTTGTGCATTTGTATACAAGTATTCTCCTGAAACCTTCAAATTATATGTACGGTTGCGTATGAGCTTAACTTTTTGTATACTGAGATGTAAACCTTTTTTATACAACCAGGTTAAATTTGCAGGTAATTAAATAAATGGAATTAATAACCTCGAATTCAACTGAGACTGTTAGATTAGTTGGAGAAAGAGGAAATCTATAATGGTGAATTGATCCTAATTTAAAAAGTTTAGAATTAAAAAACGAGTGAGCATATGTAGAAGAGAGTTTTAGAAAAAGAATAAGAAGGCGCAGAGCAGAAGCAATGGGACATGAAATGGTCAAATGTTGTTGAATGAGTCAACCTCATAAAAACAGTTCGTACGTAAGTCGTTGGTACTTGACTTTCATTTTATCCGTTTAGAGGTCAGTTTGCAATCCTACCACATGTCCTCATTAATGACCATCTGTTATTTGTTGCCCAAGTAAACAATATTAATAGCCTGTCTCGTCAAGCTTCTAGCTTATTTTGAGAAGTGTTTTTCTAAATGAAAAGTACTTTTGGTGAGAAGCAGTTTGTATTTGGCTAATTAATCTGAAAGTCACTTTTGAGCAGTAATTAGTGTTTTGTCAAGCTTTTAAAAACTGCTTCTAAGTGTATTTTTCTCAAAAGTATTTCTTAGAAACGTGCTTTTGGAGAGAAGCTACTTTTTTTGCTTCTAAAAAACTGCTTGTGGTTCTCCTCAAAATCACTTTTTTCCCTTCTAAAAGCTTGGTCAAACACCTCAATTTTTGGGGAAAAAAAATGAACACTTTTGGCCCAAAAAAAAAGGTTTGACCAAACAAGCTATAACTATGAATTGAAAATGATAGGCTTAACATATGAGTTAAGGAGTTATCACCTCAATCTTGTATCTTGAATGTTTTTTTGAAACAACTTTATTTCCAAGAAAAAGATATGTACAAGCGAATTGGAAAACCCCTGAGCTGAACAAACCTCAGCTTTAAAACCCAAGAGACTCAAGAAAACAAAAAGACCTAATTACACCATTCCTATGGATAAAATTCATCTTGTATTTTGCTATCTTAGTCTCAATTTTCTAATTATCTTATACTGTTGTTATTTGATATCAAATGAAAGAGTTTCTTTAGTTGAGAGTTTATTGGAAACAACCTCTCTGTCCGCCAGAGTAAGGGTAAGACTGCGTACATCTCACCCTCCTCAAACTCCACTTGTAAAAATACACTGAATCGTTGTTGTTGTCGTTGTCAACTGTCCCTCTAGAGTCTTGCACCAGCCACCAGTAGCCCCGATGATGAACCTCTTGTATCTTCAACGCTTTAATTTGCCTTGAATAGTAACGAACATGATTAAAGAAATGATAATTAGAATTTAAAGAATAAATTCCCAAAAAGAAAAAGAAAAAAAAAAGCAAAACTTATTCCTTTTCAAGAAAAATGAGAACTAAGTTGGCTGGTACCTTATATCATACGAGTAAAAGGTTTTATTCGTACCGAACATTTCTCTCTTCTCCTTCCTCCTAAACCAAAAAAAAAAAAAAAAGAAAAACTTTATTTCTTCATCATTGAAAACCCTACACATAAATTTAAGGAGATGAATTAGATATATAGAATAAGGAAAAATATGATTGTTCTATTAAGCTGTTAAACTCTGAAATCAAGCGTATACATGGTTTTGTCGGATCATTAACCCATGTATCAATGCACGAGATTTGCGGGGCATTTTCATATATACTCATTTTTGTGTCACCATTGAAGTTATACCCGCATTGCACAAATTTTTGCCCCGTTCGAATCTGAAATAGTTCAATCTCTTCAATGCAACTTCAGAAATTCAAATATTAAGTAGTTTAATCTATTGAATACATCTTCAGATTTCAAATCTTAAGTTGTGAAGCATAAACTTGTTTTTCGAATTTCAACAATCCAATACACGATTTAACTGCCCAAATCCTAAATGAGCTCAAAGTTGAAACATAACTTTCAAATACTTAAAGATTTTCTTTCCCCAGTGTGTCAACAGCAATGACAATATCATGATTAGGATGACTAGATATGATGCTTAAAACCTGGAATCATTCATCAGAAATTAGACCAACCTATTAATGCTCTATACTGTAACTTCATCAAACATGTATCACACTGGAATTAAAAAAGCACATTAATAACTAAATTCTACAAGTTGGAAATTTGCAGCTTGAGATTGAAAAAGGGAA